TTAGCTACACCAAAGTCTTTTTCTTTCTTCACGAGGTATTCACACCATTTTTCTATTTTTGTTTGAGCTCTCCATATGTGCAAAAAAATACAGAGAAGAGCCAAATAATATACTTTCCTAAAATTGGCTATTTCTGATAGGAGATCTGATGAAAGAGAGTGGGCTCATGTATCTTATGTTGACTGTTTTTTCATAAATTCAGTTATGCATTTAATTACACCATCAGCATTAATATAGGGCTGAGTAAATGTACAGACTGTAAGTAATCTTTTTTTTCTCAGTGTGTCCTTTTAAACGTTACAGCTTTGTGCGCCAGTTTATTTCAGCAGTTTGCCATGACACATTTAATAACAGGTGGATATGATTCCTTTGATATCCAAAGAAAGTTTGTTATCAAGAAATGTAAGCCACAGCTAAAGGTCCATAAAGAAGCCATGTACTTCCAACCAACTTGTTACAAAAACTACATCAAAACACTACTAGTAGTAAAACTCTGCTATTTGATCTCATGCATAATTAAAAAAGGACCAAGGGAATACTCAAAGCACAAAATGAATGTAGGAACTCAAAAGAAAAGCTGACAAACAGCAAAAATGCAGTAATCTTGTATGTATGCACATATAGCCAAACAAATTCACTGTTCATCAAATTAAAAGGGAGTTACAGTACCATCAAGGCAATCTAACAAAATTGTCCTATGCTGGATTCTGAAATAAAGCAATGTTCAAACACAATTTAAAACAGCATTTAAAAATGCCTACTGAAGAATTCATAATTTTACAATCAAGCGGGAGGGCATTGTAAGGTATTTTGAACAAATTTAACTGGTAAAAATATTTTGAGATTCCCTGGGTAGTCTCAGCTTTCCATACTGCAGAAGACTGTGCTTTACTAGTTTAACTACTCCTATGCCTTGTAAGACTTGAAAATCTTTTAACAAGTATACAAGCCAACAAATGCATCCCCAGTGTTAATAATGCTTAAAGCTGCTTCCTACGGGAAGAGAAGAAAGACTTCTCCAAATCTCATTTTGATGTCCTATTACCAGCTAAAACAACAAGTAGTAGTGCTGGATGTTGAGGTTTCTGCACATGATTCTTACATCTGTCTTCTTATTCCACTGATGCATTTTCAACAAGGCACAGGCCACAGTTAATTTAAAAGGCTTGCAGAGAAAAATCAAAAGCATTGCAACAGCTTTGTTAGCTGCAAGGCACTTCAGAGTGAATACTTCTTCTCATGAAAACAATGTCTGACTGAAAGTACTAAGTGATGCTCATCTCATATTATAGAGAGCACAGTGCTGACACCTCTGAAGAACCATTTGGAAGTAGGAAACTTTATGAAATGCAATGCCCATTACAGCACTTAGTTACACAAAGCTTTGCTTCTTTGCAAAAGCTGCATCGTGTTTGGGAATTTGACAGACCCTTTTCATGGTAGCTGACAGGTGAAAAGAATTACAGCTATGCCTGTGAACATGTGCAAACTTCTGGTACTACTCTACCCGAATCAGGAAAGCTGCTTAGTACTCTGGGTGAATAGGCATGCCCTAAAGCCACATTTCAATGTCAGGATAATTTCATCAGAAAATTTCTAAACTCTCCCATCAGAAGCAGGCAATTTGCTTCCTACTCACTGCTTCTGTCCAGTCCCTGCTTCTGCTTCTCCCCCTCTGTTGGGAGGCTCAGAAAGCTGTCAGTCACATCACCAGTAGGCCCAACTCAACTTCCAGTTTGTATCTTTTAGCTTCCACATTAACAGCCAACTCCAGTTCATCAGCTATTCACTGGAACCGGTGCCAAAGGGTCTGATCCTTTACTACAAGCTGTTCCCAAAGGCAGCTTTGATAGATGAACAGTGGAATAGAGTATGTCCCCTACCAACAAGAGCACCAGGAAGCAGGTCAGGTCTTTTGCCAAACAGCCTTGTTAAATATTTAAGGGAATGTTCTGGGATACAGCAATCCCAGCCATTTCAGCTCAGGTTTCATCGTGTTCTTAGTCAATGGCCTGCCCTGTAACATTCAAGTTTGGCTCCATAGACAATAAATGGGAAGGGACAACATCATCCTTTTCAGGTTTTAAAAAGAACCGAGAGGGAATATATGTGCAGAGCTGGGGTTTGGAAAGGATGTGGAAAGGGATGAGGCACTAAACCAAGTTGCATATGAGCCAGTTATGTACCCTTGTGGAAGATAAGACTAAGAGCACTAGGAAGAGCATTACGTCCCCTCTTTTTCATGCTGTTGAGACAATACCTGGAGAGCTGGCTGATTGAACACTGGAACTGGTTCCCCAGAGAGACTGTGAAAACTCCAACTGAAGATACTCAAAATCCAACCAGACAAAGCTGTGAGAAACCCATTCAATTTGACCCTACTTTGAGCAACTGGATTGGACACGATCATCTCCATTCGGTCCCATTCTACCCCATCCTCGCTGCAGTTCTGAGAAATGATCTACTAAATCATCTTTTGTAGAAGTACACAGTAAGGACTGGTGATTGTGTTTTTTAGGTTATTGCTGGGTTGTGGATTCAATCTCCTATTAATTGTTAGATAGGTCTAGCTGCTACCGACAATTTGTATTACACTACATGTTTTAAGTGAAAAATGCCAAAAATCTTTAACAAGCAGTTTTTAAATATGTGTCATAAATAGAAAGAAGTAATATGTGATTTAAAAATAGATTTGGCATCTTTACATCAGTCACCCTTCCTGCTTGTATGTGATTGCAACTAAAGATGTCTGTTTACAAAAGTTTATATCTCTTTTGGAGATAAAGTGACTGTTCAACAAGGGAAGCTTCCAGCATAAATTGTTTATCATGTGAATGTCTTGATCACTTCAAGCCTAACAAAAACTACCTTCAGGAAATTCTGCCACATTCACTGGAAATGAATATGTACTGTCTGAAGCTCAGATTTTCCTCTATGGCTGCACATTTCTAGCATTGCAATATCAGAAAGAACACAGAATCTTTTCCATTTGTCACTCTGAAGGTATTTCAGACTGTATGGGTTTCAAATCTATGTCTAATTTTATTCTAATCCCACTCTTGGGCATTAATCCAACTGAGGTGACCAGACTTATACCCATGCGAATGAACTCTAACATGATTTATTTCACCAGCAACAACGAATAAGATGTCTAATGGACCTCTACCAGGACAAAGTAGTCTCTTCTTGCAAAACTGACCAACAAAACTGGTTTGGGGCAGCCAAACTTTCTCCAAATCATTATAATAGTATCACTAGCTCAGAGGTATCAGAACCAAAAGTAGCATAATAACCTTTTTGATAAATATTGAGATCAGGTATTCAGAAAATATAGTATGAGGCTTACAAAGACATTCAGATCTCATCCAACCCTACTGCCTGCCCTCCTGCAAGTTTTTTGATGAAAGAAAAAGCTGTGAAGCCAAGAGCCTTGCTGCCCTGCAAGGGCCTTTGAGTCTAAATATCCAGAATCTAAATCTAGGTCAGCCTTTGAACTTTCTGTTTTGGGAAGAGTGTCCATGGCTTCTCCTCTAAAGAAGAGAACAGAAATAGGACTTTCAGGGGGCAACTCAGACAATCCACAAAGATCTCCCATTTGATAGTGGATGTTAATTTTGACTAGAGAAAGAGACTGAAGACAGGAGGTTTGTAGTCTACACACTTCAGGTAGAAAAAGTTAGAAAAGATGAATCTGGTCCTTGAAACGATTGATGTTATGCTTAGTTGATAACAGCTGGATGCTGCAAGGAACAGACGAAGCAAATATTACTAAAACAAAGTAACTGTTTTAATACTTGAGCCTTATCTTAGCAAACAAACTGTTCCAAGCAAAAAAACAACACTGTTACATTGAAGAGACCTTGATATCCTATACCATACTATTTCTAGGCTGTGAAAAAGTGAAAAAATACTTGAAAACTTGCCATTTTGACATTTTTCTACAAATAGATCAACAGTCAGAATGCTGCTTTTCACACAGCACCCCTCTTGTGCACTGTGGCGATATCCTTTCAACTACAGCAGAATGAAAACAATCACATTTCTCATCTCTCAAATGGACCAGATTATACAGAATTCGGATCAGTCTGTGTTTTTCATTAAATTGGACATGTTTACAAGTCAGACAAAAGCAATACTTGCTCAGATGACCTCCTTTCCTTTGCTTGGAAGATTTATTGAAGGCAATATAGAATGGCAACAATAGTCAATCATAGCCAGCAGACTGCCCTTTTATTAGGCATATTGAAGCCAATTAATCTAAGTGAGCTTTCTCCCTTTATCTCCTGAGGGCACATACTGTTAGAATGCATTAAAAATTCTGTAGCAATAAATAAAGGTGCTGAAATTATTCATTTGAACTTTGAGAAATTATTTACAAGCACTTGAGATGCTAAGTATTAACACTGTACATTTTCTGCTGGGCAAAGTGCCTGCTGCTGTAATTTGTGTAGATCCAAGACTTAAAAAATAAAGCTCTAAAACAAGGCTTTGTTGTACAACCATCCTCGGGGACAGCATGGAGAGAAAGGAATGCCTGCAAGAGAAAGGAAAAGCAGCAGGAAAACTGAAACCTGCCTTACACTAAGTAAAAAACACTGAGTTGATGCAGAAATCTCCACTTAAGGTTATAAGTGAACTAGACATGTTTGCAGCACAGAAATAATCACTTACTGGGATTCATTTCTAGATGTTGGGTTATCTGCCATTCACAGGAGATAATAAAGGCCATTTGAGGTGAAAAGCAATTCTATAATAATCTTATTAATTATGAAACATCAAAACCCAAGATGTCTTAATTCGTGTTCTCATTTTTGCAGTCCATGTGCTTCTAATTAGAACTCCTGTAATGTATTCACTTGGGAGGCATATAGGAAAAGTGAGTAACACTGTAGCAGCAGCTTCCTCTTTTAGGGCACACACTTAAAACTCTCCTTTATTCTTGGATTACCTCCAGCATCCTTCTTGGATTTCCTTCACCATAAATTCAATTAAAATCTTACCAGTCTCACAGCTGGGGCCAGTAAAGCCTTGTGGGCAGGCACACACATTGGAAGCAATACAGGCTCCTCCATTCCGGCACCCATCTTTGCAAAATGCTGAAACAGTAAAAGCATAAGAATTAACAAAATTACCCTCAGTATCCACACAGGCGTCCCCAAGCCAGGGCAGACTGAGACACAGTCTGATGACCAGCACAATCCTCACAGCACTGACTGCAGAGGCTGCTTCCCCTGAAGGACAGAGGTCACTAAAGATTGTTTATAGCCCCCCTGCCTCATTAGCCAGATGGACTGACAAGCTACAGGAGATTAGAGTAAATCATATGATGGCAACAATCTACATATGTACTCCTTCCTATGCACCAGGAAGCAGTGAATGAACTCTTCTTAGGGTAACACTGTTCTTAGCATCCTAAATAAAAGCATGAGCATAGCAGGCACAAATGAGCACTGAATCAGCTGGCTACCTTCCTCCATCATTCAGAGATTAAATTGGAAGATAGTCATTTGCCTCCAGAGATTCTGAAAAACTCAAAAACATTTACCATTTACAATTTGAAGCCAATCCCTGGATTTGTTTGTTGGTACACTGCAATCTGAGAAGCTGCGCTCACATATTTAGGCAATTCAGCATTCTCCAGATATAGCTATGAATATTTAGGCTTTTCAGCATTCTCCAGATATAGTTATGCACTAAAGAAATCTCTCTGCAGGCACAAAAATGCAACTGGTTCTGATATACAACACAGCAGCTGTTTAATTGCTCTGATCTGCAATATGGAATGAGCAATTCTCTGCTCACACGAAACAACAAAAAACAAGAGTTGAGTGCATAGTCCAAAGTGTGCAGCTCTGGGGGCAGTGGGCCCTGCACCTGTAACCGGCCACAGGATGGGGTCTACAGCCCCATCTGAGACATGGGTATTAGGAATGTGAGCCTTCCAGGTCTCCATTCTGAGGCTTCAGCCTCTTGATGAGACCCTTATATGGAGTGCTGGTGCAAGAGGGCCCAGAGCAGGGAGGCCACAGCCATCAGAGATGATGCTCTGCCTGAAGGACACCTACGCCACAGCTGGGGCTGCAGAGGACACTTTCCAATAGGGTCTGAGACTTCTCCTGCACACTCCTTTAATACAAAAGAAGAAAGGAAGGGTGCAGTTTTCTGCTGCAGTGGGGCCACATGTCCTGTGAAATGTAAGATCTACACTCAGAGCTCTTGACCAAGAAACACAAGTGCTATAGGGTTATGAACCTTGTCTTCGACCCAAAGAAATCCCAATTACTTTTTCATGAGCTGACAGACCTTCACCTGTGAGTTCAAAGATCAAGGACACTTCTGAGAGGAGCAGCTGTGGTTTGAACCTCCTCAGGCTAACTTGGATTTCCCATTCCCAGAGGAGAGAACTCAGTGTAAAGGGGGTCATTTACTGACATCTCTCACATCTCTCCCTCTTTCTCTGTGTTTGGCTGGGAGTTGACGATGCTAAGATGTTTTACAGATGGGTCATTATGTTAGGAATATTTAAAGAATCATACTGTGGCTCAGGTGAAGAAAAAGACACCATTAAGATCAGAAGCAAGCTTAGCAATTAGAGAAATACTGGGCTTGGCCTCAACACAGCAGCAGAATGAATCTATGTGTCGTTATCAATGCTAACTGAGGCTCCATTGAGTCTGACACCTAACAGATAAAGTGGGAACTCTTGGTATGCAATTGCTGCAGTTAGACCACTTCTCACATCTGAGCCAGTTCCCTGCAGTTGCACTACTTTTGTTATCAGGTATTTTCTCCATACAGTGTTATGAGTTTGAGGACTCCCAGGGACTTGGGCCCAATAGCATCACCCCTTCTGACGTGAAATACAACAGAAGTTAAAGCAGCACTGTGTCTCCACCAAGTCTATGCGCCATCCTCAAATCACTATGAACTCAGTCATACGCAGGGTCCCTGGGTACCTACCTATGAAGATCTTCTAGTAGGTGCAAGACCTAAATGCCTAGCCTAGCATTTTGCCCATCTTCTTCAAGGTATGGCAACAGATTTGTATTAGCAAAGCACCTCACTGAGTTCAAGGAATGCTGAATCCCCAGGTTCTCAGCCACTTACCTTTACACACAGTCCCATTTCCAGTGTAACCCAGCTTGCAGACACAGTTGTGCCCACCCACGGTGTTGAAACAAAGCGCATTTTCATCACAGTTGTGCTGGTTTGTTACACACTCATCATGCTCTAGAAAATGAAAGAACAATGGGATGTTCTTCAAGTTTTAAAATACACAGAAGCTTTTTAATAAGAGAGAAGTAGTAGTTAGTGATAACTTGGCTATGTCAACATGAAACAATGGGGTAATTAGGTTATGTGTTTTTAACACATACTTCTATGTGAGAAATGTGTTGGAGCACAACTCCACTTTCATTAATGGAGAACTACCACCATTACACTTTTCACATAGGCTACACAGTTCTCGTAAACATCTGTCAAAGAACTGGCTAATATACTGAAGATCCATATAATAATTCTACTGCATAATTTAAACATGCAGGTTTATCCTGCATGGGATTCATAGGATTTCCTTCAGAAAGATGACCAGTGGTGCAAGTCACACACTCCAAGCTGCAAGAACAGTTTGCAGAAGTCAGGACTTCAAAATATAGTCCTTGTTTTCCTTCACTTCAGTGTGTACTCTACTCACTTTTAGTTGAGTTAAGTAACCAGGAAACAAAGAACAGGCTGCTCCTCAGAATGAGGGACAAAAGAAGCATGATCTAAGTGTTTCTGTTGGTGAACATTTTAATGTTTTAGTTTGTGGTTCTTTAAAAAAATGGAAAATGCAATTTCAAAAGAAGATGCTTTGAAGTATCTTTTCCAAATGTCAGAAGAACTGCTTGAGTATATTCAACATGCAGTGTCTTAGTCTGTAGGTATCATGAATAAAAAGCTTCCATCTTCTGAAATTATTCCGTGTATTTTCTTTAAATCAATAATATTTACTCAAACATAAATAGTCTCAGAGTACCCAAAAATTTAATTTCGGTAAAATCAACTGTTTTGGGAACATAAAGCTACATAATCTGAATCAGCACACATGAACTAGTCTGCATTTGAGGCTTTCATAGCCACCATTCTGTCCAGGTTTTACCAAATCTTATTAGTGCAGCTTACGGCAGTTCTGGCTATGACACAAGTCTTAAATCTGAAACTAGATGCTCTTTCTTCCCTTGTCTTGGCTATGTCACACTGCTCTGAATCATCTGCTTTATAATAAAGAATTGAAGTCTGCGCATATCCCACAGGACTATCAGGAAAATGAATTTGTTAACACTTGCAAATCACTATGGAAGAATTCGACTTGCTATTCAATACTAGCCATAAACCACAGGAGTATAAAAATGCATATAGCACATTCTAGTATAAAAATTGCACATAGGCACATCCCTAATCCATCAGTAGACATAAAGTGTCCTATAGCAAAACAAATATCCATTGTTTAAGAGGAGGAAAATCACCAAAATGTAAATAATCAATTTTAAACAATTCACGGGGTTCTTTAGTTTGCTTTATTTTGGTTTAGGGTTTTTCTGCTTATTTTATAGCAACATCCTGATGTCCTTGTTCCATACAGGGACTGAGTCCCCACTGGATACAGCCAAGCTGAGGCTGCAGGCCTCCGCCCTGAAGCGTGAGAAATAATTACTTCGTTCTCAGCATTAATAACCAAAACTGATATTGTTCACAAATGATCCAGCCCCTCAAATCTGGTTACAATACTTGACTCCAACCTCCCACCACAGTGTAATCTCTCATGCTGGCTGAAGTAGTATTTATATTAGATCAGTCATGAAATTAAAGAATGTCGCGCTCATACAAATGAGGTTAAAAGTATTATCTATGCTGTAATCATATTCTGGCTTTGTTTGTGTTAATATCATGATATTATTTATATGTAATATGCCATTTAAATATAAAATATACACTGCTTTCTCATTTGTAAAAGTTTTATGTAACGTATGAAAGGAAAATAGCTATGGAAATGTAAGAAACATTATGCACTCAGCAGGCCAAAATATCTTGCAAAAACATTATTCTGGGATCTCAGGAGGGGGGGGGTATATACAGCAATACATCACACTGATAAACTCAGCTCAAATCGCTGCATTTGGCAAATTAAGTATCATGCTCAATGAGAAATGCCACCATCCACCTCATGCCTTAGGGTTGCAGTAGCATCCCCAGCATGCATAGCAGCTCTTTCCTGTGGACAAGAGTATATTAGAGAAAAGCAGCTGAGAACGGTCTGACACCACGAGGAGCAGCTTTAAGCCCAGAACAGTTCTGAAAGCCCATGAGGGACCCATGCCAAGGGAATTTGCTGATGGTGTTCCAGCACAGCCAGGTGTTAACAATATGGGTGAGTCCACCTTGCAGTACCTGGGCCTCAAAGACCATATGCATAGATGTATGGCCTCTGCAGAAAAAAAAAGATAACTGTCACCCTTGAATGTATCTTCATAACATTTACTCTGTAGACTCATAAAATCTGAAGAGTCTTTTAAGATGAACTTTTTAAAAAACAAAATTTAACTATCAGCTAAGTAACTGAGCCTGAATTCAAAGATAATATTCTTGGTTTCCACCACTTGCTGTGAGAAACTTCAGTGTTTTATATCCTTCTGCAAGAAAGCTCATGGAGGATGTCTGCCTATGGGGCAGGAAGAGGGCCCACCACACAGCCACAGAAGTACAAGTACAGAAACAGACATTTTAAAATGATAGGAATAAAAAATGTCATCAAAAAAGAATTGGAATGTTTTACCTTTCACCTAGATCAGTTACCCTGCCTCATCTGAGCTTGGGTTCAATAGCACTGTTAAAACCATTTATATGTAGTACTTCATATTCCTTCCATACTTCTTCATATTCCCTCCATACATATTGAGGGGCACCACACAGAGAAATCAGTCTGCACTGCACGGCTGGCTCTGATACGGACGGATAATAAATGGTTAAAATACAGAAGGGGAAAAGTCCTGCACATAAAGCACCTTACAACATTCACTCTTTTAATGCATGGCGTATCATCTGTAGCAATGTTGAAGAGACTATCAGAAAGAGCTTTTTCCAGAATTCTCTATCTAGCTTTATTAAAGATAGAAATACTTGATTGTCATGAAAAAGGTGGTTGATAATTCTTCATTAACTCACATTTAACATTTTGTCTTCTTATTTTGCTGAAATATTCAGAAAGTCATCTTAAATAGAGAGGACATGGAATGAGCTCAGCAATCTTTAATATCAATCTAGAAACTGTAGAAGCAGATTAGGCTGTGCATTATAAAAAAGCAAAAAAGCAATTCATTTCAAGCAAAAGAATTGTTTAAGGATAACCATGAATATGACTTCTTCCACTTTTTAAAGTTTGAAAAACAGGATAGAAACATCATTTGCATTATTTAGAATGTCAGTACTGCCCAAATATATTTCTGATGCTCCAAGAATCAAAAGTGAGGTCATTCATTTCAAGCAACTTCTTAGGAAATAATATGACACACATTTAACAAATATCCATACTTATTTCACTGCACACCAAAATGATGATGGGGCAGGGCCAGTGTAGGAGTAGTACAGTGGCAAGGAAATAAAATTGACTTCTGGAGAGAGATTTTAACCATTAACACACCCATATTTGCATAAACTTTCTATAAAACCAAATGCACTAGTCTCAGTGATTACCTCTAAAGCTATATTATCTAATAGATCTAAAATCCATTTTGCCAGGACTCGCTGCTCAACGGTGTTAACATTAATAAAATCTCTGTTCTGAGAACCAACTGAAGTTTCAAACACATTATATATATTGAATAAATTATGTCTAGAATGATCTCTTTCTAGATAGTTTCACCTCCATAATGTGCTACCGCTCTACGCTAAAACAGTAGTAAGAATGGGTTGATATGTACATCCATTAAAAAAACAGAATGATCGTTATGACACAGATGATTTAAGGGATACAAAAACTATGTGATGATGTAATTAATTCATGCATTTGGATGTGCAACAAATCAATTATACACACATACATATATGCACAGAAAGTGATGAATTTTATTTTACTTTGCTGCTACTCCAGAACAATTCATGTGGTTTCCTGGACAAAGATGTCATTTCAGAGGATTATGAAGGGTAAAGTACTGCATCCTCATGAGATGCAGTGCTGGCATAAACTCGTACAGACCCACTGAATCCTATGACATATGACACAGCAGATGGGGATCTGTCCTACTGCTTTTATTATCTGTGCAGAGATTCTTGCAGAACTTAGTAGAAGCTAACATGCTGACCACTAGGTGTGTCAGCCATCTCCTCCTCCTTTTATTTTCAAAGTGCAGAACGACATCAGCCACTACCCTTCCTACTGTACGTTTCACAACTAAAAATAAACAGAAAAACATTTCCCACTTGCATACTGCAACTTCCCAATACTTGTCCTGCCCATCCAAATTCTGCAAACATCTATGCAAAAAAAATTGACATAGAATCCAAATCAACAGTGGAAAGGAATTATGACTGAGTTGCACCTCATACTTGTGGGTAAAGGATACAATGCCGTCAGTTTTCCTAAACCATTCACTACCAGCATTGGAAAGTAACCACTTGAGGAATAGAAATTCATAGAAGTTCCCACATATATATAAAAAAAAAAAAACATGCTTCTCCATTTGTAATCTTGTAAAACCATGCAACTGATAACCATTTTTGAGTGGAGGAGCTTGTGAATTAAATTAAAATCTTATAAACAAACAGAATATTTTAAGTATTTTCTCCTCATGCTATCTCTGAATTCTGGAACTCAAATTACTTTTTGTCACCTGTCTCCTTCGCATTGATTCAGTAAAAATCAATGGAAGTGTGGTGATCAGCTGACAATTGGATGTGGCAGTGAAAGTGACAACAGATGCATCACTTGAATTATCAGCACCCAACACACTTAAATGCCCACTTACAGTTTATCTTAATTACAAGCTCTTTTTCTCATATAATTAATGTACAAGACAAAAATCAGTATTAATTATATAGGCAGTTTGGAAGACATATTCCATTAGGATCATTAGAGAAATGACAGATGGTTAATTTCTTGAAAGACTTCATACTAGACAGTTTAAACTCTAATTAGCAGGGTTACTTGTCTTAGTATATGCGTAGTATTTTCAATGAGCAAGTGGCATAAAATT